TATCACCAAGCTGCCATAACTTCAGGACGAGGAAACTGCACATTATTTGGAGAGTATATATCTTTCTGACTTGCAGGAAAGATGAAAATTAAGAACGGCCCTCTTTCCGAGTGGGTATAAGTATTCTGTGACAGTCTCCTACAATATTTCAAACATCTTCGTCAGACCCATAAAACCCGATGCTCGCCTCGCTGGGCCCGGCCGAGGCTGCGCTGGAGTGAGGACACTGATCGCAAATAGGGTGCCAAGACTGCCCTAGGAGGACGTGTTGATCCAGGACTTTAAGCCAGCTTGCTAGGTGCCCCCGAGGACACGGAGGCATACGTAAAGAAGTCACACTACATTAGGAAATAAGAACGAGAGCTAATGGTGATCGGGTGCCGGGTCCCTGTTCGGCACTGTACGTGCATCATCTCAATTTGTCCTCGCGTCTTTAAGGGTGGTCCCTGTTAGTGTCCCCATGTTGCAGATAAGAAAACTAAGATATGAAGAAATCTAGTAACTGGCCTGGAGATCACACAGCTAGAAAGTGAGGGCCTTAGGATTCAGATCCAGAGGAGTCACTCAGAGCCACAGGTGATCGGCACGCATGGGTCACGAGGTGTCCCCTAGGCACCGTGGTCCCCGTCACAACGACCTCCTCCTCATGTGTTGCTGTAGCTCTCTAAACTGCACCCAGGGGGATGAGCACCCTCCCCGCTGGAACGCAGCAGCCGCTGGCATGTGACATCGGACCTGGGTGACCTCCAGCTGCACACTCCAATGCCAGAGTGCTTGACCTGGAGAGCTTTCTAGAAGAAAAGGGAATGTGAAATGTTTTCAAAAGACCTGCTCAGGTTGTTGGCTGTCTAGGACCCGGCGGGGGGCCACAGAGAGTTCTGTTTAAGATCCTTGTCAAAGTCTGAGTCGACATGTTTTTACATACAGGGTGGCAGAAATTCTAGGAATGTCAAGATGTTTCAGAAAGCAGTTTGGATGTGGACCAAGCTCACGAGGGCCACATGGTCACTGAGGGGAAGCAGCCTGGTGGGGCAAGTTAGCGCAGGTGGCTTGGCGGCGGGTAGCCGCTCCCGCTCCTGCCCAGGGGAGCTTCGGTGGAGATGGGGAAGACCCTGCGGTGCCCACTGAGTCCTGAAGCCCTGCCATCATTCTTCTGCTCAAAGTAAAGAAAGCCACAGGGCAGGCGACTGACAGACAGTTTTACTCTCCTCCTCCCTCCCTTGTCCCCTCTTCCTTCTCCCTCCTCCTCAGCCACCCTGGAAGCCAGGGAAGCACCCACAGGGACTCCTGGATAGGTGGGTGGCTTCTAGTCCTGGCCTTGACTCTGTAACCTTAGACAACCCGCTTAACCTAAATGCAACTTCAGTTTCTTCATTCTCCCCCGCCAGCAGATTTGTATTAAATGCCAGATGAAATGGTCGTATGGGGGCTGGGGATGTGGCTCAAGCGGTAGCGAGCTCGCCTGGCATGCGTGCGGCCCGGGTTCGATCCTCAGCACCACATACAAACAGAGATGCTGTGTCCGCCGAGAACTAAAAAAATAAATTAAAAAAAAAAAGAAAGAAAGAAATGGTCCTATGTCATCGGTGATGGGAAGGACTGAGGCCAAACGGACTCCGCAGTCTTTTTTCCAACCTGGGTTGGAAATGCTGGAGTCCCTCTGATAAGATCCCTTTTCCATCTTCTTTCTCATCTCCTTCCTTCCTTCCTCCTCCTCCTTTTGGGAACTGCATTTCTGCCCACCTCTAAGTCTTTCTCTGACATGGAAGTCGGGAAATAAAAAGGCAGCCAGAGAAATTCATAGGTGTGTGGAGTCTCCCTCTCTAACTCCATCACACTCTTTTTTGATATTTTGAGAGCTTTTCCTGGGCTAAGAGATCTCTCTTCATTAATTTCTTCAAGCAGCATGTTGCAAGTGTCAACATTCAGAGAGGAACCGTCAGTTCACGCCCCCCAGTAGGATCTGAGGAGTGTGAGCTCACACTGGTCTGCAGACTGTGGTTCCTTGAGGTAACAAAGGAACCCGTCCCAGGAGGGCCTAGACCAAACACATGGACTGTCTTCAAAGTGACAGCCTCGGGAACCCTCAGCAATGAAGCCAAAGGGACAAGTGTCAGAGGCACAAAAGACAACGGCCTGCCAGGACAGTCAGAAAGGGCCAACTCTGTGCCAAATGAGTCCGTCCTTCCTCCTGGAGAGGAGCTCCCGGGACTTGGGGACCATCTAGACCAGTGCCATCCCACAGAACTCGCCACACCAATGCAAATGCTCAGTATCCGCCAGGTCCCCATGGGAGGCCCTACCACGGGGCCACTGAGCACTTGAAAGGCCACTAGAGTCCTGAGGACCTGGATTTTTCATTCTATTCTATATTAATTGTTTAAATTCAAATGGCCACATGCAGCTGATGGCTATGACCTGGGGCAGTACCAACAGAGAACAGGAGAAACTCCTACCAAAGAACACGAGGCGCTGAGGCAGGACAGAGGGGATGAGGTGAAGAGGAGGACAAGGCGGTTAAGGGCAGCAAATCCTGAATGTCGGGATTTTAAGAAGAAAAATGCCAAAAACAGGAGAAAGGAAGGGTCTCCTTCTTAGACAGTTTCAGGCCTTCCTGACACAGAGTGCCCTCCACGACTGTGTTGGGCAGCGGAGTGGCCGCTGGGCTTATGTGATTCTGTTAGAGAATGGAGGCCCACTCACCGCAGCCTGAGCAAGTTGCAGGAAGGCTCTTTCTTCTACACAGAGGGTGGCACATTCCGCCTTCCAACATCAGGAGCTAAACAGAGCTATGTCTCCCGGTGATGAGGTGGTTCTGGAATAAGTTCCAACAATTCCAGACATTAAAAGAAAGTAAAAACTCACATCATATCAGACACCTGTAAAAACTGCATAAGCAGTTTTCTGGGTTTTAGTCCAGAAAAGCACCCATGATCACCATGATTTTTGTCTTTTGTCTTTTTTTTTTTTCGTTTTCTGGCACTGAGGATGGAATCCCAGGCCGCTCCGGCACTGAGCTGCATCCCCAGCCTTTTCCTTTTAAAAGCGTACCAAGGGCAACCATAAAGAAGTGCTGAGGGCCAAGGTTGAATATTAATTCACCATGGAAGTGGAGCTAGTCGGTTCCAGTTCATTTTCCTCCTCCTCTCTTATCTTAAGGCGAGCGATGGGGCTTCATGCTAGAAAAGATAACACAAACGTCCTAAGAGAAAAGCCTAGATTAATTTCCATGACTCTCAATGAGGTCAAGTCTCCAGGTCTAAACAAATCATACCACGAGGGTCTTCAGAAACGACAAAAGCTGAATCGCTGTGGAGGCTTTCCCAACCAAGAGAGAGAAGAGGCCTCAGTGGGCCGAGGAGGATTAATTAAACATTTCCCAATTTCCAAGAAAGGGTAGAAAAACATTCTATAAATGAAAGATCGGCCAGATGAAGGATGATCTCTTGACCAATGTCTAAGGGGGCTTTACGGGAAAGCTTTGTAGACGTAGTTTAAAAGGACGCCATCTTCACCGAGTCCAGATGGGTTCCCTAAGATAATAAATTCACACCAGTCTAACCTCCGCTCTGATTTTGGCACAGAGAATTATAAGACATGCAATAAACTACATATCAGCAAGTCATCGGAGAGTCCCACATTCGGTTCTTCTGCACAAAATTTAGAAAAGTGAGCTAAGTGGTGACATGGTCAGATGGCTAACAAGTGCTTGGACGGCTCACCCCAGAGTCGTGATTAATAGGTGACTGTGAGCCCGAGGGAGGGTTTTCTATCGTGCCATAGAACTCTCGGTCCTTGGCCTCTTCTGCTAAACATTTGCTGGGACTTAGATGAGGACGACGATGGCGTGTTTATTAAATCAGCAGATGACAGGGAACGAGGAGGGATAGATAACAGATTTCAGATCCCAGATCTGCTCAGGCAGTCTGAGACAACGGGCCAGCACATAAATCTGCAACACGAGGACCTGCCCCAGTCCACATGGAGACACTCCCCTCCGCAACTTGAAAGAGCAGATGGAGAAACCAGGGAAGCTTTCGGGGGGGGGGGGTGGTTAAAGACCCAGCTCCCCCCATTTCCACGACCAGACCACCAGCAGCCAGTTGCCTTCTGGTCCCTTCTTGACCTGTTCTGCTTTGTGGTCAATATGACATGCACCTCTTACGTTATCCCTTGGCTCTTATAAGGAATGGCCCCCCAGGATGACTCCTTGGTCCCTTTTCTTCACACCCTGGCAGCCAGAGAGAAATTTCCAAATCTCCAACCACCACAGCATTTTGTTCCTCTTCCTGGGGAAGAACCTTTCTTGGGCCTTTCTTGCAATTTGCCTTGTGATGGGCCCAAAGAGAGTGTCCATCCTCAGGGGCCATCTTCTCACACCAAAGATGCCCTGTGTCCCACACTCTGCTTGATCTCTAATGTCATCTAAGGGTCCCACGCCCTTAACTCTGCGACTGAGATGACAGAGCTGGATGGGTTCAAAGGTCAGTAATGCGGACACTGGAAGAGCGAGAACTCGTGCTTAGCTGATCATGAACCCAAATCCAATGAGATCATACACTCTGCCATGAGAGACATGAGTCTATCACGAGGGATCAGATCTTCTTCTCCCTGGTGCCGATTGGACCACGCTGGGTACCATGTGGGGGGGGTAGCAGTAAATTGAAGTTTCTCTGGACAAGAGTGGCTATCGAGTTAAGAGGTCTGGAGCCAATTAAATAAAACAAAAAATTGACAAGTTTGAATTGTTAGCTTTGAAGAGATCATCATAGTCATCCCAAAATTTTAGGTCTAGTATGTGAAGAAGGATTGGAGTTATTCTGAGACAAAGCCAGAACCCATATACAGGAAAGCGACAGGAAACCAGATTGGTCAGAATCTCTAACAACCAGAACTGTCCAAGACTGGCTAGAACTAGTTGGGACATTCTGAATCCATCATCTTACTAGAAGTGCTCAGAAAGACACTGTTGTTACCTGTGAGGTCACAGTTGGAATGCATGAGGCAGCTGGTTCCAAACCAGCAAAACTTCAAGGCCCTCCAAGTCCCCGACTTGCCGTGCTGGGACTCCACATCTGATTCCACTGGAGCGATTTGGTCTTCATTCTCCTCATCTGCTATCCTGGGGATACACTGCAGAGAAGATATATGGCCTCTTTTAAGCTTGCGAGGCCGGACAGAGGAAAATTGGGGGAGACCAAGATTAATTCTTCTTTGAAGATACAGCTGGTAAGTATCTGCTGGGGTCTCCAAAATTTTCCTCATTATTTGTAACCATCCATGTCCCCACCCTCGTTCCCTGGGGTTCTGTGAAATATGACTTCAGTCCTGTCCTGTTATCAGACTTTGGATGACAGAGTCGGGTTCTCTCCCCCAGCCTTCCTCTTCACAGATGGGAACCTCTCCAAGACACTGTGGCCAAGCCCAGTGGAGGGGGCCTTGCTTGCTCTAAAGCCCACACCAGTGACCGACTGGCTCTGGTTGATCCTGGGATGAGAAGGGGAACTGAGGAGAAAGGGGTGGTAGTGAAGGTAGTGAGGTAGGCGCCTCCATTTTCTGGGGTCAGCCTGTGACAATTCGACTCCTGGGCTTCCTTTGTCCCTGGGCCCTTCACTCTGGCCCAGCAACCCCACAGTGACTCCCGGACTCTCTCCCGCACCTTCGGTCCATTCTTCCCAGATAAGGACCCTGTCAGCACAGTAGCATCTCTGTCCAAAATCACACCTTTCACCTGAAGGAGGACGATCTGGTTTAGTCAATGACCCTCAGACGAGAAGGTATGATCGTTTTATTTGCAATCGTTATCACCCCGAGAATAATTTCCTCAAAACCTACAATGTTCATCTGGAAGGAATTCCCTTTAACAGATAAGGAAACAAGCCAAGATACAGAATCTGAATAGTCAGCTAGCCTCGGAGCATGTTTTGGAGAGAACCTAAAATACGTGATGGGAGGTGAAACCAGGTGACCAGAGGAGAACCTTTCAAGTCTAGGAGTTGACTATCTGGATTTCAGTATTTCAGAGTACCATCTCGTAGGTCATGTGGGACTGGCCCAGGACCTAAGACACAAGGTGAGCGTAGGTGAGGAAGTCCAGAGGAAATGTCTCTAACTCTCGGGGACAAGAGCAGTCCTCAAGGCCACCTCTCCCAGCCTGTGCTGTTCTGGATCCTCAGTCAACGAGAGATTGAGTGAAGCGCATCTAAGCAGGAGGAGACAGCACAGAAGAGACGTTGGAGGAGACAGGCTATAAAGACTGGATACAAAACTAATAGAAGTCGACAGACAAGGCCACTTAGCACTGCAGCACACAGCTCTTCCCAGCTCCTTAGGCCCTGGGGGCCCAGAACAGTGACCGACAACTCATGGGAAAGACACGGAGGCTACAAGATAAATAAATGCCAGTAGTTTTAGTTATCGGAAGCAGAAAATTATCAAATACTTTCTAGAAATATTCTCAGATGTTTTAATGTTCTGTTGTTGAGTTTTGCTGTCTAAAGCAAAATGCGCTCAGTTGTCTGGAAGATTCACAGATTCCTTTTCCAGCCGTATCTGATACGTGAGTGAACCAGGAAGCTCCAGAACACTCCAAGTCCTGCCACTTAGGCTGCCACCTCTTGAAGGGAAGGAAGTAAATCCCAAGAGGGCCTTTTCCTACATCCACTGCCTTATGTGTGTGTGTGTGTTTCCTCAGTTAAGTAAACCCACGGGGACTGCAGGGACCAGAGACCAATGCAGACCCAGCAAACCCGTCCGGTTGGCTGCGGACAGACAGCCTCCTCCGGGGCAGATTGGAGGTGAACGTCACTCACTGAGTGTGCTCTCAATGGAACGGGGGCAACCTGATCCAACCAAATCTCTCTGTTAAAAGTGAGTGCTAAGGAATAACACAAGGTGGACTGGCTAGTCAAGTTCAATTCCCTGTTCCAAAGCCACCATTTCTCTCGCTATGTCCCACCAGCTCTTTTTAAGGGAACTCCAGCACCTAAAGTGTTGGAAGATGGTCCTGGAGTGAGAGATCGTCTTTAACAGGACCAGATCCAAAGTTGGTCCTGATCCAAGTTGGCCAGTCTATAGGTTGGTCCCCAACCGGTGGGACAGTTTGACATGAATTGTTCCACCCACAGGTAATTAGCTGGGTCAGCCTTTCTCTCCCATCAGAATTTGAATAAAAAACTATGGAGAGATGCTTGGGATGGATCCCAAGTAAGAAATGCTCCCTGCCCGTGCAGCCTACAGAGGAGTGGCTTTGCAGGCAAGGAAGTGCTTCGGCCATAACTGCCATGATGTCATGTGATAAGTGACAGAGGAGGCCAAGAAACCACCAAGCTGGGTTTGAGCTTGGGAAGGGCTTTCAAGAGGCCAGTGTTTAATTTGAAAACTAAAACACAAATAGAACCATGAGAAAAGAGAAGAGAAGGTAGATAGAATCGTGTAGGGTGAGACCAACATCAGTGGAGGGCTGGTGACTTAGGTAAGGTCCAAGTAGAGAAGGGTGTAGGGTGTGCAGGGAAATGAGGGGAGACGAACAAAGGTCTTCTCCACGGGTAGGGAGGCTCTCTATCCTGAGAGAAAAACCACCAAAGAGTTCTAAGTCAAAAGGGAGATGATTTTAAATTATTTTCTAAAGACTATTTAATGTTCATCATCTCTAGCAATTAGAGAAATGCAAATTAAAACTACACTGAGATTTGTATCTCACTCCAGTCAGAATAGCAATTATCAAGAATACAAGTAGCAATAAATGTTGGCAAGGATGTGGGGGAAAAGGTACACTCACACATTCCCGGTGGGACTGCAAATTGGTGCAACCATCTGAACAGCAGTATGGAGATTCCTCAGAAAACCGGGAACGGAGCCACCATTTGACCCAGTCATCCCACTCCTCGGTTTATACCCAAAGGACTTAAGATCAGCCTTCGATAGTGACAGCCACATCAGTGTTCATGGTAGTTCAACTCATAATAGCTAAGCTATGGAACCAACCTAGGTGCCCTTCCATAGATGAATGGGTAAAGAAAGTGTGATACACACACACACACACACACACACACACACACACAC